GAAGAAAGAGAAAAAAGAAATATCATGGACCCATTGTATTATACCAAGTTTGAGAGATTTCAATTTAACCTGTGAAGAGTTTAATTTATTGTAAATTTAATGGTATTGGAAGGGAAATTGATTGGTTTTGTTAATATTAGTGAAAATGAGTACTTTTTAATCAACTTAAATAAAATAAATGTAAGAATTGCTCACCTCCACAGAGTTTACTAGGAGGATGAATCAATAATAATGTCCGTAAAAAAAATTTTGAGAAAGAAATAAAAAAAATTCTTTATAATAATTTTGCATGATCACCGTGAACGCGCAAACATGCTTTCCTCTCCAATTATCATGAAACTACATGCACGAGGTTTTATCGTATTTAATCCTAGCTCAATTAGAAGTAGATGATGCCTGCGGCGAGGGCGGCGGCTCCGGCAACAGTAGAAATCGGAGTGTGTAGATGCGTCGCTGGACCCTGAAGCAGTAGAATCGAAGGCACCGGGAGGCACGGGTCCGCCTATAGGAGCCGCGACGACGACCGTCAGGGGAATCGGCAGCTTCCAGGACTCCGATGACTCCATCGGTCAGAGGCTCAGCGAGGTCGGCCTCGGAGTTGGTTACCATTAGAGGAAGACGGAGCTGGAGTGGAATCGGCTGCCACGACGGCAAAAGCCTGAACGACGGCGAGCAAGAGGAAAGCGAGGACCACAACCTGACGAGCACTTTCATATTTTAGGGAGTGAGATATAACCATATTATTATAAATTTATAATTAAATAATTACCAAATTTTTTTTAACCACCTAAATTAATTAAATGAATCTTTTATTTTAGGAGGTGTTTGGTTTCTCTAAAAATGCTTTTTAAAAACACTTTCACACAAGTTGAAATAAAACTCTTTTCATATATAGTAAAATTACTTTTAAAATCATAGTTTGTTTTCTAATCAAACATCCCTAAAGGTGAAAGGAACATTAAAATTATGAGGAGAAAAAAAGTAATAGATTACTTTTACATGACATCTTATCGTTTGGACACAAAGATAAAGTCTTCTATATAGGACACATTATATACCGGAGGGATCATGCATCAATATATGCATTTATTCTATCTTCTTGTTTCTCTTCGGTTTCTCATAAAATTTTAGCATATGCTCTCCGACTCTCTGTTGCCCGTAATATAAGTAATTTTTATAAAAATTATTGGTCTACAATATACTCCTTATTATAATTGAACAATATTTGCTCCTGGATATAAGTCATCAATTAACTCAATAATTGCTATTTTTCAAACCTACTCTTGTTTCTGGTAAGGAAAAAAACCCTACTCTTTTTATTAATTACGTTTAGTGTTAATATGGTCATCAGACTCTGTATTCTCTGTCTAGTACATCATTAAGCTGGAAATAAACTTGAAAAAAAAATTAATTTAGGACAAGTTAATACTTTAACAGTTATTATTTATTTGTATGTGAGAATTACGAAATATTGGGTAGAAATCAAATCATTGTCTTAAAAAAATAATTTACAACATACGAAGTAAGCATGCGAGAGGAATTTTATTTTGATTTAATGAAAGTTTTTTTTAAAAGTATTTTTTTGGGATGTTCAAACACCCCATGTGAAAAATACGCTATAGGGAAGACTAGAAGGAGTAAACCACTTAGAGAATAATTCATTTTTATTTGTCAATTTTACCTCTGTAATTAAGCTTAAATATTACTCTTTATATTTTTCCTCCTTTACAAACTCATTAATATGAATAAATGTGAAACAAAATAAATTTGAGACTGATTTAATAAGTTAACCATTTTTCTTTGGTTTTTGATGAAATGGTTAAAGCGAATTAAACTGTGAGGATGGGGAATATCAGCTTTGCCTGTAGGGGCACGTCACTTGTGTGAGGTTGTAAATATAATGCTTTCTGCTTTTAATTATTCTGTCTCTTGGACACTTTAATTTTTAACCTTTATTCAGATTAACGCTATCCCCAAACCCCCACCTATATATATTTTCAGATCTGAAGCTAAATAAATAAGTAGTCTAATCGTGTTTGTGTGTGTGTGTGATCACTTGCTTGATAAATGCTTATTATTGACCAAATGGATTTTCCGGCTCCACGTGGTCATCAAGAGAGTAGCAGTGATGAAGGAGGAATCGAAGTTCTTCTCATGGAGACCAGGGACCTATCACGGTTCATATCGCGCGGCGTGATTGGGACAAGGCAGTTGAAGTATGTAAGAGTAATCCGAGGCTCCTGAGCCAAGGGATGCCGAACTCAAAGGACACCGCCTTGCATGTGGCCATCAACGAGAACAGAGTTGACGTCGTGGAGAAGTTGATCGGTATAATCGAGAGTAAGAGAACAAACCAGGCTCTGATAGCACGAAATAACAAGAAGGAAACCCCTCTGCATTGCGCGGCCGCGAGAGGGTCCGTGCAAATGTGCAAGCTGATCCTCCGTGCAGGAGACAGCATGGGTGAGGATCTGCTAGGTATTCCCAACAAGTGGGATGAGATGAGAACCCGATCTTCGTCGCGGTTGTCCATAACCGTAAACCAGCCTTCATCTACCTCTACGATGCTGCATGTGAAAAAGCAGAAGATTACCGGGACTTATTCGATACTTGGTTATTCATAGAGGTACTGATAGAGATGCTGATAGAGATACTGAGGCTGATGCTGATAGGGATACTGTGCTTCACTCGGCCATTAGGAGGAGAGGACACGTGGGATGAGCATCACTATCCTTCACGTCTCTGTTTTTTTTTTTTCCTTAAAAAATAGTGACATTGAACTTGCGACCTCCAAATAAGCTTTGAGGCCAATTAATGCTATTTTATATTCATCAGTTATATTAGTGGCTGCTGTGACCTATATATATGTGTTGATTATTTATTATATAGATTTGGCATTCTACATCATCACAAAGTGCCCAGAGCTTTCGGACGACTTCAATGCGAAGGGAGTGAGTCCTCTTGAGCTGCTGGCCAGAACACCTTCCCTGTTAGAAGTAGAGTACAATCTTCCCTGGTGGGAAACATATTATATACCTCTGTAAGTATGTGGGTGTGTATACTTATATTACAAAATATATATACCAATATTACTCGCTCGGATTCAATCACACGTTAAAAATGGGGAGAACCACAATGAGATCCTAAAGAAAAAAATTACAAAACAAGTCTTTGAAATTGTCATTTCATATTTTAGAACTGTTATTATATACTGCTTAGGTTGTATTGGGATTTTTTAGTATTAGACTTCTTCCTTAAGACCTTAGTGTAATGTCTTCTTGAAAAATTTGATATAATAAATAAGGAACTTAACCTAAATATTATCCTCTCTCTCTCCTCTCTACTTAATTTTGTGCATATATATTCTGGCTTATTAATAATTAACTTGTTGTGTGGGTGGTGTGGTATGAATTATGATATGAATGAATAATTAATTTTTCCTTTTTTGGCGGCTTGCTAGGTATACAAGTTGACCCACTGAAGTATGTCCTAATCCGGAACCAGTTTCGGTGCTCATCCATTTGATGAGCACCATAAATCATAGATCTGAATGTCTATATCTCATTTGGGTGGTTTAGATTTGATTTCTTTTTTATTTTTATTTATTCCAAAATAATTATTTTAATATGTATAGAATCTAAAAATAGTGATGATCTTTTAACTATCATTCTTTCAAAAAATAGTTTATTTATTTAAAAATAATAATTATTAAATATTTCAAATCTAGACCGTTTAAATGAGATATAGACGGTTCAGATATGATGGAGTTTACGGTGCTCATCAAATGGATGAGCACCAAAACTGATTCCATCCTAATCCTACTTCTAAAACAAAAATCCAGATGGTAAAAGCTCCAACATTGTCAGTCCGCCTTCTGCCCATAGAAGGCATGGTATGTTGCGTGCATGGTAAAAGGGCACCGAACTGCCCTTCCCTCTCTTTTACTCAGTTATACGGTGAAATAATTGTTAAGGACAGTATTCTCTTACACGAATCAAATCACATATTTTATATTTTTACATATCTAATTTATCCATCAGTGTCGCGATCGTAATTTATGCAAAATTGATTAAGTACATATAAGTTATATAAAAATTTGAATTTTAAAAACCGTACGTGAGTTATATAAATAGTTTAACCTTTTTTCAAAAAAAAAAAAAGATTTTGTACAATTTAGTTGGTTGTCATCTAATCATCATGAATCTCTATCTGCTTTAGCAGGCAAAAATGACGAAGGGGAACCAGTGATGAACCCAAAAAACTCAGTTGCGAATCAAAGCTTTCCACACAATTGGGCCACCTGTTATGAGATTCTAGCCTGGGTCTACCTAAATTTCTTGGGCATGATGGGATTGGGTATGACTAAGATATATACATTCAAACCTTTTTTTACCCAAAAAAAATTAATCTCTTAATAATCTATTTTATTTATATGTATATGGTTCCTCCAAGTAATTAAGTTTCCATATCAGCGCATATGTACTTGTTTAATTTCCTGTGAATATAAAATTAATGGATGCCACAGGGAACATATTCACCAAGATAAAGAGGGTGAAAGAGAAGTATACATGGAGTCTTCAATTATTGGATCAACTTTTGGAAAATTACTTGAATGAAGAGATCATGAAACATGCAATTGACCTTGAATCGGGTTCAGATCATGATCCATTTGAGATGCTTGCTGCATTTGGTGGTAATTCATTCTCCCCTTCTTACCAAACTCATATCATACCTGGGGTTGGTGTGCCTCATTGCCAAGGAGAAAAAGTAAATTAACAATTAAATTTAGTTTGGTGATGAAATTTTTGTTACTAGTGAATTTAATCAGGGACGAAATTTCGTTACTAATCAATTAGGGAAGGGCTTTTTGTATAACAAAATTTAAAATTTTCATTACTAATTTGCTATTTTTTAATATATGCTAATTTCTTAATTTTTAAATATACCTCTTGTGATATATTTGTGTATATATATCCTAGACCTTTTATTTTATTTTATTTTATTTTCTATGGAACATAATCTACTAAATAAAATAAAGACATTTTTATTTCTTATTGAGAACACATTCCATATTCATTAAAAGATGAGTGTTCATTAAAAATTTTATTACTAATTTGCTGTTTTTTAATATCTGCTAATTTCTTAATTTTTTAGTATACCTCATGTGATATATGTGTATATATATCCTACACATTTTATTTTATTTTCTATTCATCTTTTATTGAACATAATCTACTTAATAAAATAAAGACATTTTGATTTCTTATTGAGAACACATTCCATACTCATTAAAAGATGAGTGTTCATTTTAATTATGAACTATCCAAATTGATTTTGAATGATCAGATTCAATTTTTTTTAAATAGTTTATTTTAATAGGTGCATAATTTTAACTGACACTTAAATTTATCATTAAAAATGTTAAATCTCAACCGTTCTGGCAAAATATTATTTAATTATGTCTAGTAAGTTAATAAAAAGAATGGCTTGATTGATTTCAAAATCATGATTGAATTGAATATGCAATATATTCCTGGAATTAAATTAATTAATTAATATTGGGCAGGTCGTGGTCGTAGTGGCGGTGATCGCAGAGACAAGGTTGAGGACATTATAAATAGAGCCCGGTTGGCAGCAGCAGAGACAGGCGTGATCGAGGTAGTGCATAAGATTCTGCGAAGCTTCCCAGAAATCATCCCTGAAGATACTGTAGGACCAACGAACAAGAATATACTGATGGTGGCTGTGGAGAATCAACAGGCAGAGATATTTGTGGCACTTCGACAACACTTGAAAAAAGTACCAGGGAAGCCTAACCTGTGGGACGACCTGGTTCATGCGGTGGACGATGAAAACAACACTATACTGCACATAGCAGCAAAGTACGATGAATCCTTGTCTCATGGTTGGCAAGCTTATGGTTATGCCATGCAGATGCAATGTGAAATCACGTGGTACGAGGTAACGATAATACCCGCTCTGCACTTTTAAATAATTCTCACATATTAAAAAAATAAATGACAATTTATAAAATTCAATGTTCTTGTCTTTTATTTTATTTTTCAAATGAAAGTTTGGGCAGATTGGATTCTAGAAATTCACACACGCCTTCATGTTCAAAAATCTAAATTAAACTCATAACATTTTGAATTATTAGCCAACTCCTTATAAACTAGATCAATCTTTGTTAGAAATGTGTCTTCATCTTTTTATTATGACTTTTCCATATTTTCTTGTCATAAAGTGATGCTCCCTCAACCTCAAGTATTAAATAGGCACGCTGGATAATTGATTGAAAAATTAGTTAAATTAATTTTTTTATAAAAATATTATATTGGCTTCTCTATAATATTCCTTTTGATTATTATCCCATTAATGAAAACTCCTTTTTCATGTATACAATTAGTAGGGAATAATTTGAAAAAAAAATTATAAATTCAGGAGACAAAGTAAATTAAGCTATCTTATTATATTTAAAATCAAAACAAATTTTTATATTTAAGACAGAGTACCAATTAAAGGGTCATTTTGGAAAGTACATTGACATTTAACTTTTTCAGTGTCATTAGAGTAGGTAGTTAATAAGTATAATAATAAGACGAATGAGAGGGAGTAGATGCCATGCACACAAATACACTATGCTGTCTCATGGAGTAATACTCCCTTGACTCTTTTTTTATGAGACAAATTCACATACTTTACACAAATAAAGAAATTTAGTTAAATATCTTTAAATTAATTTCATTTTTTTCAAATAAAATTATTACTTAATATATGTGTGTGTGTGTGCATGCAAATAAAACAGTTTTAACTTATTCATTTAGAGAATTAAATTGCAGTATGTGAAATCATTTGTGCCCTCCCACTATCTTTTCCTTAAGAACGAAAAAGGCAAAAGCCCGGAACAAATATTCGCTACAGGCCACACAGGTCTGGTGGAAAAGGGCAACAAATGGCTTAAGGGCACATCTCAGTCTTGCTCGGTGGTGGCAGCGCTGGTGGCCGGAGTTTCGTTCGCGACGTCGACGTCCATCCCTGGAAGCATTGACACCAAGGGCAAACCAACATTAGAAGGACATCCCGCGTTTCAACTTTTCGCCATCAGCGGAGTCATAGGACTCGGATTTTCCGTCACCGCGCTCATCATGTTCCTCTCCATACTTACATCTCGAACACAACCCATAGATTTCAAAAGGAATCTGCCACTGAAGCTTCTTCTGGGGTTAAGCTCATTGTTTGTGTCCATTGCTTCCATGTTCATAGCTTTCTGTGCTTCACATTTCTTCGTGCTTGAGGACAAGTTCAAGAAAGGAATCTTCTTCCCTCTTTATGCCGTCACTTGTCTTCCTATTTCATTCTATGCCATCGCACAGTTTCCTCTTTACATGAATCTTATGAAAGCCATTGTTAAGGACGTTCCCCAATCCCAAAAATCTGTCCAGTTGTGATTGATTAAATCTTTCATGTTGTTATTTTTCTTCACAGATTGTGATGTTATAATAATGATTGCTTTGTGTTATTGGTTCTTGTTTGTATTTGTGAATCTTATGATCAGGAAAAACCTCATATATATATATATATATGGATATGGATCCCCTCTATTTACAGTCTCACTTTAATTTGTCTCAATTCTGAATAGTACTTGTTGGATCAATCTTATATATTACCTCCTCTTCTTAATATAAAATTTAGTTTGACATTTAGTTTAATCTTAAATTTGACATTCAATTTGATCTTAAATATAAGATCTCAATCCAATTCATGTCTTACATAAATTTTTCTGGGCCATCTATGTCGCACAGTATAGTGTGCTTTTTGCTTGCCTTCATTCGCACATAGTGCGATCTCTGTCCATTTTTTCCCTTCAAGCCGCATTATTATCACGCGTGATCAATTCACTAAACTTGTGATATTTAGCCTTGAAACTTAATGGCTATCGCTTCTGTTCAATTTGGAAAATATGGCGCACTCCAAGCCAACGTTAATTCAAGTGCCAACCAGTCTTCATTCATGGCTGGTCCAATAGTATCCAACGACACAATCAATCTCACTACACCGTACAAACTCGACGATGAGAACTATCTTCCACGGTCTACTCGATGGCAGCTCATCCCAACCAGAAACAAGGTTTGCTGGTTAGTGCATAGACAATAGTCGGGTAATGAGTAATGTCTTGGCTTATTAATTCAATGACACAGCAGTAGGTTAGCAACTTTCAATTTCATTCAGCGCAGCTATAGCAAGTTCTACAACCAACATGTGCCATCACATCATGCATGCAATTGGAAAAAAAGAATGACATTCAAATTCTGATTATAGTAGGTACACACGATCAATCAACATCTATCAAATTCGAAAACGAGTCAAAAGAAAAGGTTCAATTCCCTTATTTTTATTTCTCAAACCAAGAGGTCCGTCAATAAGCGTCTTAATGCATGTAGATACAAATGGCACATGTGCAGCCTTCTGCCCTATCTAACCATAAATATCAGCATTCCTACCCCTTTCAAGCACATTTCAAGAAAGCTTGACATTGCCGTCAGCCAAATAGTTACTTTTGTCTGTCATTGGCGCAACCCAAGGCTAGCAAAAGCTTACTGACTGAGATCCGTAATATGGCGCCCTCCAAGCCAACGCACATATTGTAGATAGTCCTGCAACACGATTCAAGGAAATGCAGTGCCTAACGAAAATATGCAATCAACTCAGGCCAAAGTGATCAAACAAATAAAAATTTTATAGACTAAACATGTGAAAAATGAAACTGCTTAGGGACGGATACGCATATAACATCATATAGCCCTCGGAACCTCGGGCAACCCTTCAAGAATATTCTTCAGCTTCGTGATGCCCTTCTGCATAAAATCCCATCCTTGTTCGAGGTCGATCGTCTTGCGCTTCCTCGTCGACATGTTGGCAAGCTAAATCCCAGGTAGTAAAAACTGCAAAACACAGGCGAAATACTTACAAATTGAAGGAGGACATAAACTTTACCGAGAAAAGAATCACAAAATAAAAACGAAACCATAGTAATGAGCATAAAGGATAAATTTCATCCCCAAATACGCCCACCCATGGAAGAACCACGGCCGAAAAACTCAATCTCAACCTCACCACCGTTCAACCCCACTTCTTCTCATATACTCCATCAACAAACAAATAATGTGAACCCATCACTCACAACAGGACTGGGAAATTCAAGCAGCAGATAACAACACAGATCAGAAGAGCGAGATCATGGCAAGCCTACAAGAATGGGCATACATACCGCAAGTAAATAACAGCAAAACCCCCTTCCTGAACGAAGGAGAAAGCTCAATCGCCGATCTCTTCCCAAATGAAACCTCAGACCCCAGCTATGGTTGGTAACGGAGACGATGACCCAGAAGGGAGAAAAGAGGCTCAAATTCAGCAGCAAGCTTAATAAAATAAAGGATCATATTTATCAATTTTTTAAATTTTTTTTATGAAACTTTCCTAATTATAATCAAATAAAAGAAAGATAATTAAATAGAAGAAAGAGAGAATATTAAAAAAATAATTATAATTTTATAATTAATTTATCTAATTTTTTTAATATAATTAAATTAGTTAAATAGATAAGAATAACAGTGAAACCGATTCGAAGGTGGCTGAAAATTGTTACTATTTCCCTGAAGTTCCTAGTTCTTGCATTTATCTCTTTATTTTACTTTGAATAAAATCTCATTTCTCACTCCCAAAAAAAAAAAAAGTCTCATTTTCATTATATAAGTCACTAATTACTATTCTTTTGTAAATTTATCCCCACAGTTATTATCAATTCTTAAATGTGATTCATTACATTTGTGTCTCTTTTCATAACCTCATTTATTATAAATAAAGTTAAAAAAAATTAATTTGAACAGATTTAAAATAAATTCATCAACCTGATGGCACTTAATTTTTACTTAAATCAAGAAAATTTTCAATGTCATCGACTTTAGATTACTAAAATACAGTAGCTTTTAATTTCATTCTCATTTAATATAAACACTACTTTTTTAAGAAATACTAATAGTTTACAAATAATAAATTAAGATAAAATTATACATTACATATTCATACAATAAATTGGCTACTCAAAAATTATTAGTAACAGTTGGCCCAGCATCTCTTTTAGTTTCAAGTCTTCTTTTAAAGAGTTACGTTGTGAGTTTGAGCCTTTCTTTTTTTTTTTTTATACAAAAAATTTTAAAAAAAGGGGTTAGGCTCACCCACGATCCAAGGGTAGAGCACCTAACGCTTGATCCACTAGGACTTGTCCCTACAAGCACGGGAGCATGACAAACAAGGTCTTTTTTTTTTTTTTGTTCTGGCCCAATAGATAAGAATCTCTCAACTTCATTATGCTGTGGTAATGCCTCCCTCAGTACCGCGACCGGAGCCACAACAAAGTGATACTTCTCAGAATCGAATCATCTCCCTTTAGTGAGAAAGTCTAACCCCTTCGCCCACTAGACCCACAGATGAGGGGTCTTTCTACAAAGTATTTTAAGTTGTGAAAAAAAATTGATAGATATTTCTTGTAATTAATAACAACACCAATCACTCATATATAGAACTAAATAGTGTGAAAAAAATTACTTAATAAAGGAAGTCCTTAAATTTAGGTAACAAAATACACTAATATCAACAATATAATCAAAAGCACTAAATTCGACTCGATGACTAGATTAGCGTCTTAATTTTCGTATCCATATTTTTTATTTCCATTTCAAAATATCTACTATTTAAGATAGTTTGACTAGTTATATAATACTACTTTTGCTCCTAAATATTTATTACAAATAATTAACTTATTAATTTTTTTAATCCACTAAAATTAGTTATCTAATTCTTATATTAGACACAATAAAACTGATTTTAAAGTGACAAATATTTTTCTCAAAAAATAAAACTCCAAAATGATTGATATTTTGACGCAGAGCTGGTAAATGCTAGATTAGATGAATTTATATATCTGTATATAAATCTAGATGCATGGCTGCATATATGAAGAAATGAATATTCATCGCCACATTAAAAGTTTTCTTCGGCGAGGAGAATTTTACTTGAAAAATGATTCCATATTCCTTCTTTTAATTAAATCCGGGCTTCCAATTAATCTCTAGATTATCCTTTTTAGAATATCTCTTAATTATTATTAACTCTAATTTTAAATGTAACATCTAGTTTGTAGTATTATATTGCTTCCGCAATCCAAATTCCAAAACCTAGCTAATTTGAGTTTTAATTTATTTTCATATATCCTCAAACAATTTCTTCGTCTTGCAAATACGCAACCATTCGGAACTGTTACTGAAAACAAATTAAAATTTCACATTGGCATGTTAAAATAATACAATATCATATGATACAATGTATTTCTAGGGAAAAATTACCAATGTTGTAAATATTATTTTGTGGATTTTCTCTCATAGTCTGTTTCAAATAATGATGTTTAATGAATTACTCCTCTTATGTCCTCCTCTTCACAAACCGTCAAGTTATTAAGAATGAGAGCATTCACATATAATGAATCCATTAATATTCATTGATTATATGAAAAACGTACATCATAATGTTAGCATAGATATAATGCTGATTCATGCATAGCTATGCTTTTTAATATAAAAGCTAGTTGGCGCTTTGATTTGATTATATGTAAAATCTCAATCTACTTTGTCTCCTAAATTTATTTTTTATCCCAAAATATCTTATACTGACTATAAAAAGTTTTCACCAAACAGTAGTTTTAATACAGGTAACTAAAGATGGCAGCCTAGAAAAGTCAATACATGACTGTTACAAACAACTAACATAATTATAATTTCTTTAATATCTCCAAATTAATGATATAGTGGTCATATTCAAGATTGGATGTAGTACTTAATAATTAGAGACGTGTATAAAGAGGGCGTCTGACTCATTAAGCTCTAAATATAAAAGTTAATTATATATTAGAGGGTTGATTTTAACTTTAAATTTAAGACCTTAATTAATTTTATGTCTCATATTTATTAATTTTGTTCCAAACTAATTTATCAATTTTACAAATTGATATATATAATTTAATGATATATATGCATATTTTTAAATGGATCATGTTAAATTGTTGTTAGAATTTATTTAATTTCGTTAATTTATTCAATTGAATCAACTAACTCTAGCATGATAAGGCCTTATTTTCAAAAATTACAGCAATACGTGTAAAGCTGGTCTGATTCAATACAAATTCATTTGGGCTGCAACAAAAAAAAAGAAGACATCACCCCAAAAAAAAATCATTCTGTTCAAATCTGTGGGAAAAAGTTCTTTCGTGAAGGCACTTGCGTTGCGACCAATTTTATAAATTAAGTCTATATCAAAATATATATGCTTATATATAAAAATTAGGTCTGAAGAAAGCTCTGTGTATATTTATATACCCCCTATCATCCGCAATACTACCCATATTAAATGTATTTCATATCAAAATATGCTTTCAACTTTACCCATATTAAATGAAGTTTGTGAAAGAAAGGAAAAATATAAGGAGTTACTCATATGTTTAAGTATATTAATTGTAAAGACAAAATTAATAAATAAGTATTAATTACTCGTTGAGTGGTTTATATTTTTTATCAAGTCCTTTTTTGAAAAGTAAATATTGTGGGTATAGATTTGCTTTCTCACCGCCTTCTTAAATAAATAATTTTTTTGATAAATTTCTTACGTGTAAATTCCATGAGAACGCCCTTGTACATTTGAAGTTCAAAAATAATTGAAAACTATCGCCACTTTCCCACAAGGCAGAGAGAGATGTATTTTAATTTTTACGCATTATTTCTATATTTTCTCACATAAAATCGTTGTCACTTCCTAATTGAATAATTGATCATTGATCCAAAGTGATAGCTTTTTTTTTTTTCACTAATGAATAATAAAACATGTGACACTTTAAATGCAATACCATGTGTTTTGATAAAATAAAAAGAGCAGGGGGCATCAATTGCTAAATATTATTGTGTTTTAGGGTGCTAGTAGTTAATCTTTCTGGGAAATAATTTAGGAACAAAAACTCTCTTTGAACTAAAATCAATATTATGAAGCTAAGTCGAAGTCAATCAAGAAACAACATTACAACGATTTCGACATCTAAAAATGACATTGCTCTGGTAAATGGTCTATGATAGCCAATACTCTTCTCAAAAAAGTTTAAAAGCAAGAACATATATTAACCCACTGACAAAGAGTTGGTCTAGCATTGTCGGTTCCCTTATATTTCTTTGGGTTTCGAGTTCGAGTCCCAGATGAAATATTTTTGTATAGAGGGGAAACCACAATTTCTGAATTGGATTAGTCGGCTGCTTGGATATTTAGTTATAAGATCCAGAAAAAAAAAAAACTTTGAGGCACATCAATTTCGTTGTATCTCATGTTATGACCATACACTTTGGTACTTAATTGGAATGGCAGTAGAATTTTTTTAAAGTAGTTTTTCAGTCTTGATTACATACCACGTAAATAGATGGGGGATAAATATAACTGGCTCATATAGACGTTGCTTCTTTTGCACTTCAACTTTTAGTTGAACCACATATTCTTTCCCCCAAAGGTTGTCTCAATTACACTAATTAAATTTGGCGGGGAAAATGGGTTAGTTTTAATTGTTTATTTCTGTAATTTTGCCAGATTGATGGGAAAGCAAGATGCTTAAGTAGTACCTAACTAACTAAATATTTATAAAGAGCAGAAAAAGAATAAAAAGAAGTAAAGAACACGTAAAAATAGTGTCATGTCTGCACGCACATTTCATTAACTGTGACTCTAGAATGAATCTTTTCCAACACGTAGGAAATAATATTAAAAACATTTTTAACAATTTATGAGATTATTATCAGTCCAATCCTAAACATAGGTGCTAATTTAGAATTAATTTTGGTTTTAAATATAACATCTGAATTTATTTTATTTCTCATATTTATTATTTTTTAACTATTTTAATTAATTTATAAATTGATTTATAATCCGATGGTGCAGAATTATATTTTAGGGAGTGAGATATACCCACATTTATTATAAATTTATAATTAAATAATTTGTCAAATTTTCTTAACCCACCTAAATTAATTAAATGAATATCTCATTTTAGGAGGTGTTCAGTTTCTCCGAAAGTGCTTTTTAAAAACATTTTCATACAAGTTGAGATAAAACTTCTCTCATATATTATAAAATTATTTTTAAAACCATATTTTGGTTTCCACTCAAACACTCTTAACGATGAAAAGAACATTAAAATTATGAGGAGAAAAAAAGTAATAGATTATTTTTACATGACACCTTATATTTGGACCCAAAAATAAAGTCTTCTGTATAAGACACATTATATACCGGAGGGATCATGCATCAATATATGCATTAATTCTATCTTCTTGTTTCTCTTCGGTTTCTCATAAAATTTTAGCATATGCTCTCCATTGCCCATAATATAAGTAATTTTTATAAAAATTTATTGGTCTACAATATACTCCTTATTATAATTTATAGGATTTTAAGAACAATATTTGATCCTAGATATAAGTCATCAATCAACTCAATAATTACTATTTTTCAAACCTACTCTTCTTTTTGGTAAGGAAAAAACACATACTCTTGTTATTAATTACGTTTAGTGTTAATATGGTCATCAGCCTCCGTATTTCTCTATCTAGTACATCATTTAAGTTGGAAATAAACTTGAACAGTTTTAATTTAGGACAAGTTTAATACTTTAACTGTTATTATTTCTTTGTATATGAGAGTTAGAGAGTGTTTGGGTGGAAATTAAATCATTATTTTAAAAATAATTTTACAATTTATGAAGTAAGCATGCGAGAAATATTTTATTTCGGTTTATGCAAAAATATTTTTTTAAGTGTTTTTGGGGATTTTCAAACACCGCCTAGTTCAAAATACCCTGTAGAAAAGACTAGAAGGAGTAAACCACTTAGAGAATAATTCATTTTTATTTGTCAATTTTGCCTCCATAATCAATACTTAAATACTACTTTTTTTTTCCTTCCTTCACAGCCTCATTTAATATGAATAAATCTGAAGGAAAAAAATAAATTTGAGACTGATTTAATAAGTTAACCATTATTCTTTGGTTTTGATGAAATGGTTAAAGTGAATTATACTGTGAGGACGGGGATATCAGCTTTGCCTCTACGGGCACGCCACTTGTGTGAGGTACAAATATAATGCTTTCTGCTTTTAATTATTCTTGTCTCTTAAACACTTTAATTTTTAACCTTTATTCAGATTAACGCTATCCCCAAACCCCCACCTATATATATTTTCAGATCTGAAGCTAAATAAATAAGTAATCTAATTGTGTTCGTGTGTGGGTCTTGATCACTTGATTGATAAGTTCTTATTATTGACCAAATGGATTTTCCAGCTCCACGTGGTCATCAAGAGAGTAGCAGTGATGAAGGAGGAATCGAAGTTCTTCTCATGGAGACCAGGGACCTATCACGGTTCATATCGCGGCGTGATTGGCACAATGCAGTTGAATTATGTAAGAGTAATCCGAGGCTCCTGAGCCAAGGGATGACGAACTCAAAGGACACCGCCTTGCATGTGGCCATCAACGATAACAGAGACGACGTCGTGGAGAAGTTGATCGGTATAATCGAGAGTAAGAGAACAAACCAGGCTCTGATAGCACGAAATAACAAGAAGGAAACCCCTCTGCATTGCGCGGCCGCGAGAGGGTCCGTGCAAATGTGCGAGCTGATCCTCCGTGCAGGAGACAACATGCGTGAGGATCTGCTAGGTATTCCCAACAAGTGGTATGAGAACCCGATCTTTGTCGCGGTTGTCCATAACCGTAAACTAGCCTTCATCTGCCTCTTTGATGCTGCACGTAAAAAAGGAGAAGGCTACTCGGACTTATATCGATACTTGGTTATTAATAGAGATACTGATAGAGATGCTCATAGAGACACTGATGCTGACGCTGACGCTGATAGAGATACTGTGCTTCACTCGGCCATTAGGAGAGGGCACGCAGGTGAGCATCACTATCCTTTCACGTCTCTCCCCCCCCCCCCAAAAAATAGTGAGATTGAACTTGCGACCTCCAAATAAGCCTTGAGGCCATTAATGCTATTTTATATTTATCAGTTATATTTAGTGGCTGCTGTGACTATATATATGTGTTGATTATTTTATATAGATTTGGCATTCTACATCATCAAAAAGTGCCCAGGGCTTTCGCACGAATTCAATACGAAGGGAGTGAGTCCTCTTGAGCTGCTGGCCAGAACACCTTCCCTGTTTAGAAGTAGCTACAACCTTTCCTGGTGGAAACATATCATATACTTCTGTAAGTATGTGGGTGTGTGTAATTATATATACAAATATATATATTTATATATATCAATATTAGTCGCTCGGATTCAATCACACGTTAAAAATGGGGAGAATCACAATGAGATCCTAAAGAAAAAAATTACAAAACAAGTTCTAGAAACTGTCATTTCATACTTTGGAACTTGTTATTATATACTGCTTAGGTTGTTATTGAGATTTTTTAGTAATTATACTTCTTCCTTGAGACTTTATTGTAATTCTTCCTGAAAATTTTGATATAATAAATATAAGAAACTTAACCTAAATATTATTCTTCTCTCTCTCTTTACTTAATTTTGTGTATATATATTCTGGCTTAGTATTAATTAATTAACTTGTTGTGTGGGTGGTATGAATTATTGATAATGAATTGGATAATTAATTTTTCCTTTTTTGGCGGCTTGCTAGGTATACAAGTTGACCCACTGAAGTGTGATCCTAATCCTACTTCTAAAACAAATCCAGATCGTAAAAGCTCCAACAAAAGGCATGGTATGTTGCATGCATGGTAAAAGGGCACCGAACTGCCCTTCCCTCTCTTTTACTCAGTTGTACGATGAAATAATTGTTAAGGACAGTATTCTCTTACACAAATCAAATCATATATTTTATATTTTTACGTGTGTATGTTTTCCAATTATTCATGATTTAGATCCTCTTCATTTACATATCTAATTTATCCATCAGTGTCGCGATCGTAATTTATGCAAAATTGATTAAGTACATATAAGTTATATAAAAATTTGAATTTTAAAAACCGTACGTGAGTTATATAACTAGTTTAACCTTAAAAAAAAAAAGATTTTGTACAATTTAGTTGGTTGTCATCTAATAATCATGAATCTCTATCTGCTTTAGCAGACAAAAAGGACGAAGCGGAACCAGTGATGAACCCAAAAAACTCAGCTGCGAATCAAAGCTTTCCATACAATTGGGCCACCTGTTATGAGATTCTAGCCTTTGTCTACCTAAATTTCTTGGGCATGATGGGATTAGGTATGACTAAGATATATACATTCAAACCTTATTTTACCCAAATAAATTAATTTCTTGATAATCTATTTTATTTATATATGTATATGGTTCGTCCAAGTAATTAAGTTTCCATATCAGCGTATATGTACTTGTTTAATTTCCTGTGAATATAAAATTAATGCATGCCACAGGGAACATATTCACCAAGATAAAGCGGGTGAAAGAGAAGTATACATGGAGTCTTCAATTATTGGATCAACTTTTGGAAAATTACTGTAATGAAGAGATCATGAAACATGCAATTGACCCTGAATCGGGTTCAGATTATGATCTGAAACATGCAACTGACCTCGAATCGGGTTCAGATCATAATCCATTTGAGATGCTTGCTGCGTTTCGTGGTAATTCATTTTCCCCTTCTTACCAAACTCGTATCATGCCTGGGGTTGGTGTGCCTCATTGCCAAGGAGAAAAAGTAAATTAACAACTAAATTTAGTTTGGTGATGAAATTTTTGTTACTAGTGAATTTAATCAGGGACGAAATTTCGTTACTAATCAATTAGGGGAGGGCTTTTTGTATAACAAAAATTAAAAATTTCATTACTAATTTGCTGTTTTTTAATATCTGCTAATTTCTTAATTTTTTAATATACCTCCTGTGATATATTTGTGTATATATATTCGAGGCCTTTTATTTTATTTTCTATTCATTTTTTATGGAACATAATCTGCTAAATAAAATAAAGACATTTTGATTCCTTATTGAGAACACATTCCATATTCATTAAAAGATGAGTGTTCATTAAAAATTTCATTACTAATTTGCTGTTTTTTTAATATCTGCTAATTTCTTAATTTTTTAGTATACCTCTTGTGGTATATGTGTATATATATCCTACACATTTTTTTTTTTCTATTCATCTTTTATTGAACATAATCTACTAAATAAAATAAAGACATTCCATACTCATTAAAAGATGAGTGATCATTTTAATTATGAACTATCCAAGTTGATTTTAAATGATCGGATTCAATTTTTTTTTAAATAGTTTATTTTAATAGGTGCATGATTTTAACTGACACTTAAATTTATCATTAAAAATTTTAAATCTCAACCGTTCTGGCAAAATATTATTTAATTATGTCTAGTAAGTTAATAAAAAGAATGGCTTGATTGATTTCAAAATCATGATTGAATTGAATATGCAATATATTCCTGGAATTAAATTAATTAATTAATATTGGGCAGGTCGTGGTCGTAGTCGTGGCGGCGGTGGCGGCAACGGCGGCGGTGATCGCAGAGACAAGGTTGAGGACATTACAAATAAAGCCCTGTTGGCAGCAGCAGAGACAGGCGTGATCGAGGTAGTGGATAAGATTCTGCGAAGATTCCCAGGAATCATCCCTGAAGATACTGTAGGACGAACGAACAAGAATATATTGATGGTGGCTGTGGAGAATCAACAGGCAGAGATATTTGTGGCACTTCGACAACACTTGAAAAATGTATCAGGGAAGCCTAACCTGTGGCACGACCTGGTTCATGCGGTGGACGATGAAAACAACACTATACTGCACATAGCAGCAAAGTACGATGAATCCTTGTCTCATGGTTGGCAAGCTTATGGTTATGCCATGCAGATGCAATGTGAAATCACGTGGTACGAGGTAACGATAATACCCGCTCTGCACTTTTAACTAATTCTCACATATTAAAAAAATAAATGACCATTTATAAAATTCAATGTTCTTGTCTTTTATTTTATTTTATTTCCCAAAAATTCACACATGCCTTTAAGTTTAAAAATCTAAATTAAACTCATAAGATTGTGAATTATGAGCCAACTCCTTATAAACTAGATCAATCTTTGTTAGAAATGTGTCTTCATCTTTTTATTATGACTTTTCCATATTTTTTTGTCAATAAGGGATGCTCCCTCAAGTATTAAATAGGCACGCTGGATAATTGATTGAAAAATTAGTTAAATTAATTATTTTATAAAAAAATTATATTGGTTTCTCTATAATATTTCTTTTGATAATTATCCCATTAATGAAAACTCCTTTTTCAAGTATACAATTAGCAGGGAATGATTAGGAAAAAATTATAAATTTAGGAAACAGAGTAAATTAAACTATCTTATTATATTTAAAATCAAAGCAAATTTTTATATTTAAGACTAGACAGGGTCCAATTAACGGGTGATTTGGAAAGTATATTAACATTTAATTTAACTAGTTTTATTTCATTTTTTCAATGTCATTAGAGTACGTATTTAATAAGTTTAATAATAAGACGAATGAGAGGGAGATACCATGCACAAAAATACACTATGCTGTCTCATAGAGTAATACTCCCTTGGCTCTTTTTTTGAGACAAATTCACATCCTTTACACAAACAAAGAAATTTTGTTGAATATCTTTAAATTAATTTCATTTTTTTCAAATAAAGTTATTGCTTAATATATATGTGTGTGCATGCAAATAAAACAGTTTTAACTTATTCACTTAAACTATTAAATTGCAGTTTGTGAAATCATTTGTGCCCTCCCACTATCTCTTCCTTAAGAACAGAAAGGGCAAAAGCACGGAACAAATATTCGCTATAGACCTCAAAGATCTGGTGGAAAAGGGCAACACATGGCTTAAGGACACGTCTCAATCTTGCACGGTGGAGGCGGCGCTGGTGGCCGGAGTTTCTGCGACGTCGAAGTCCACCCAGGGTAAAACCCCGGAACAAATATTCACCAGAGACCACAAAGATCTGCTGGAAAAGGGCACCGCATGGCTTAAGGACACATCTCAATCTTGCTCGGTGGTGGCGGCACTGGTGGCCGGAGTTTCGTTTGCGACGTCGAAGTCCATCCCTGGAAGTGTCGACGCCAAAGGCAAACCAACATTAGAAGAACATCCCGCGTTTCAACTTTTCGCCATCAGCGGACTCATAGGACTCGGATTTTCCGTCACTTCGCTCATCATGTTCCTCTCCATACTTACGTCTCGAAAACAACCCATAGATTTCAAAAGGAATCTGCCATTCAAGCTTCTTCTGGGGTTAAGCTCATTGTTCGTGTCCATTGCTTCCATGTTCATTTCTTTCTGTGCTTCACATTTCTTCGTGGTTGAGGACAAGTTCAAGAAAGGAATCTTCCCTCTTTATGCCGTCACTTGTCTTCCTATTTCATTCTATGCCATCGCACAGTTTCCTCTTTACCTGAATCTTATGAAAGCCATTGTTAAGGACGTTCCCCAATCCCAAAAATCTGTCCAGTTGTGATTGATTAAATCTTTCATGTTGTTATTTTTCTTCACAGATTTTGTGATGTTATAATAATGATTGCTTTGTGTTAGTGGTTCTGGTTTGCATTTGTGAATCTTATGATCAAGAAAAACCTCATATATATATGTGTGTGTGTGTGTGGATATGGATCCCCTCTATTTACAGTCTCACTTTAATTTGTCTCAATTCTAAATAGTACTTGTTGGATCAATTTTATATATTACTTCCTCTTTTTGATATAAAAATTAGTTTGACATTTAGTTTAATCTTAAATTCGACATTCAATTTGATCTTAAATATAAGATTTCAATCCACTTTATGTCATATATTTATCCATTTTTTGTCAGGGTAGTCTTACAGTAATTACATATGTTAAATATGTTATCAAATAATAGTTTTAACTAATACATATGATTAGTAAGAGTATTTTAGAGAAGACAATACCTATTTATTATAAATGACTAACTTAATTAATTTTTTTAATCTACTCAAATTAATTAACTAATTTTTATAATATTACAGATCGGAGGTAGTATATAGCTTATTAATTGGACCTTGATCTGATGCTTAATATTGTTAATTAATATAAAATGATATATATTCGTATTCTGATATCTTGCTGTTATAAAACAATACAATTGTATTCTTTGCGATTTTTTCAAGCAAAAATATAACCACAAACTTGGAATAATTTGAAAAATCATAAATATATATATATATAATTTTATGGTTTCATAACCATAACATATCAGGATCAGAATCAGAATGTTTCTCATTCTATACAATGTGCCCATTTGGATCAGCGATTGGAAAAGCAACTTATAGGAAAAGTAGCTTATGAAAAAGTGAAGTTAGTAAAAGTTAAATTAGATATGCTGAATTGTGTTTGGATTGGAATTTAGAAAAGTTAGTTTGTAAAAGTGAGATTGGTAAAAGCTTGTTTGGATTACAGTTAAGTAAAAATAAGTTTGGCTGAAAAATTACCAAAATGGGTATGGGTTTTAATAAATAATGAAACATAAAAAAAATTGATTTCACATAATATAATGAAATTAAAATAATTTAATATGAAGAAATCAAATTTAATGAGTGAATTAAATTTTAAAATTTTAAAGAAATCATAAAAAATATTTCAAATATAAATTGAAACATAAAAAAAAGAATTGAGATAATATAATGAAGAAGTGAAATTTAATGACTGAATTAAAATTGAGAAAAACCATAAAATATATTTTGAGTATAAAATAAAACATGATAAAAAAAAAAAGAAAGCTGGTGGGACTTGCGGGTGGGACTTGAGTCTGGGAAAAGAAAGGAGGACTTGCAGGTGAAAAAGAAAGGACCTGACACGCACATTTGGTAAAAGCTCTTCTCAAATAAGCTCCTGCGTGGAGTTTATTTTCATTGAGCGTTTAGTAGGTTGAAAAATAAATAAGTTCAATAGGTTTTAAACTCTTCCAAACAAACCTATATGATCAACCCAGCTTAAATTATAATATAAGCTGCTTTTGGGTCAGCAAACGTTGACCCAAACAGAGCCAATATGTCGGAGGTTACAAGCAATATTAATGCCCCGTTTGGTACAATGGAAGAGTTTCTGATGGAAATGGAAGTGGAACTGGAAATGGAAGTGGAACTGGAACTGGAAATGGAAGTGGGTTTTAAAGTGTGTTTGGTATGTTGGTGGAATTGTTGCATTAATTTATATATTTTCAATGAAAAAGACCAAAATACCCCTAAACTAAAAAAAAAGGAAAAAACTGTAAACCCATCACTCCATTAGCCGAACACTCCTTCTTCCCACCGCCCACAAAGCTTCGCCGCCATCAATGGTGGCCATAAAATTCATGGCTTGAAGCTAATGATTCCAAGAGCTACTATCACTGAAAAACACAAACCAGACCAGCAAAGATGATGGATTTTTTGAAAAAGCAAGTTGAAAATCACAGAAAAAAAATTCCATCGAAGCCCATAACCACCTCTTGCTCTCAATCGTTTATCTTCTCACCGCCATCAAACATCCCTCTTTTGGTTGTCGACAATGCGCCTGGTTTTCTCTGTGAAGGAAGTTGTCAAGGTCGCCGTTGAACAAAGCTGTGGTCTGGAGTGTGGGAGGTTATTCTCATGGGTCACCTGCCTTCGTCCCTTCTTGCCCCCCTTCTCTCCTCAGACGATCCCATCGATGGTGTAGTGAGGATCGGCGCAGGTGGAGGAGCGTCGCCGCCGTTGATGGTGGAGGAATGTCGCCGCCGTTGATGGGGGAGGATCAAGGTTGCCATGGAGCCAAAGGATAAAATGGGAAGACCCCCAGTTCCGAGGAGCTGGAACTCGATTCCTTGGGGGGGATGATGGAACCCACTTCCATCATTTTTGATGGAACTGGGTTCCATGAGGAACTGAGTTCCATGACACCAAACGAGTCAAAAGCAGAGTTCCACTTCCACTTCCACTTCTCCAGGCCCAATTCCATGCTACCAAACGGGGCATAAATTTGCCACCTCTTATTTATAAGAGAGTTTACATACCACTAGACTATGAGGTCATTGGCCACCTCAATTGTCTTTATATTTCCTTCCATGCAATTACACAGTTTCCTCTTTTAGATGAATCTTTTGAACGCCGTCGTTTTATCTGATTCCCAGATCACACAAATATGTCAATTTTCGCTGGGGAAACCCCCCCTTTTTTTTCCCGGATTAACGTTTTCTTTTCGTTTGGCCAACATTCGATTGGTAATATCATCATTTGAGCCAAGATTTTTTTGATGTTAGATAATTGATTTTCCATCATCTACTAATATTGAAAATTTCACAATAGATAATTTAAATTTAATATTTTATAAATTAATTTTTTCCCTATTTGTCCGATATTACAATTATGAGCCATGCAGATGCATGTCAAATATTAAGTACTAAACTTGAATCATCCATTTTTTTAATCTAAAAGTGGATATGAGATTCTGAGGGAAAAAAAAAAAAGAAGAATGAGAAAAAGAAAATAACCTGGACCCATTGTATTATACCAAGAGATGTTTGGATGAAATTAAAACCATAGTTTTAAAAGTGCTTTTACGGTATATGAAATAAATATGTAGAGGAGTTTATCTCGATTTGCGGAAAAGTACTTTTCAGAAGTACTTCTGGTGCTACCCAAATACCTCCCAACTTTGAGAGATTTTCAATTTAACCTGTGAATAGTAAAATTTATTATGGCCTTGTTTGGATTGCCGTTAGGATGGTAAAAGCACATGGGGAAGCGTGAAATTGAGGTTTGTGGCTTATTGTGGCTCAGAAGATTGTTTGGATGGGGCTTCTTTTCTAACTGACTTATGGAAAAATTGTGCAAAGCTTACGGTTTAATTGGTTATATGATTTTATTTACTTTGATTAGATACCAAATGAATTTTAATTTATATTCATGTTTGTTCATTATGTATATTTAATTAATTATCTACAATGTGTTTTCAAAATTTTCTCCTAATGAATATTTTTATTTTATAATTTCACAAATAAACTATTTACATTTTATCATAATAATTTTATGTATTTTTTTAAACTATTATCACATTAAAAACATAAAATTTTAAACACTACTATTCAATAAAATTCATACCATTTTTAGTCATTTTATAACTAAAATAACTTTTCTATTAATTATCTAAACAACTTTTAACTTTTTCAATTGACTTTTTATAAGCACCTATCCAAACATAAATCGCATTACACTAACTGAATTTTACTCTAACTTTATAAAAGTTAGTTAAACTAGAAGTCAGTTTTACCCAACGCGAGTCTAAACATACCCTATAACTTTAATGATATTGGAAGCGAAATTGATTGATTTTGTTAATATTAGTGAAAATGTGTACTTTTTAATCAACTTAAATAAAATAAATGTAAGAATTGCTCACCTCCACAGAGTTTATGAGGAGGATGAATCAATAATAATGTCCGTAAAAAAAAATTTGAGAAAGAAATAAAAAAAATTCTTTATAATAATTTTGCATGATCACCGTGAACGCGCAAACATGCTTTCCTCTCCAATTATCATGAAACAACATGCACGAAGTTTTATCGTACTCCAAGCTCAATTAGAAGTAAATCATGCCTGCGGCGAGGGTGGCGGCTCCGGCAACGGTGGAGAATCGGAGTGTAGATGCGTCGCTGGACCCTGAAGCAGTGGAATCGAAGGCACCGGGAGGCACAGGTCCGCCCATAGGAGCGGCGACGACGCTGTCAGGGGAATCGGCAGCTTCTAGGACTCCGATGGCTCCGTCGGTCGGAGGCTCAGCGAGGTCGGCGTCGGAGTTGTTACCACCAGTGGAAGATGGAGCTGGAGTGGAATCGGCGGCCACGACGGCAAAAGCCTGAACGACGGCGAGCAAGAGGAAAGCGAGGACCACAACCTGCCGAGCCATAGTTCTCTCTAGAAGCGAAAGAGAACGAATTTAGAAGAAATAAATATTCCTTTATTGTTATTATTATTTTATTTTGGTTGTGGTTGAGATTATGAAGGAGACAGGTTTGTTTATATAGGAAATGGCGAAAACAAGAAATAAGATAAATGCTCCGAAGTGGGAGGGAGGCCACTGGTTAATACTATGCGGTTATTACAATTTTAGGTTGGGATTACTATAATTAAGGGGGTATGTGTTATTTTGGCTTTGAAATTATATATATGATCTCGGGATAGAAATTACTTTACTATTATTATATATCCCAAAAATGAAAAAATTAGCATTATTATTGGTTCTATTGAAGCAAATAACTTTCTTAAAACTAGTATAATTCAATATCAATTCCTACTGAATATAGTAAATCCATAAGTTACTTGATCGATGTCTAATTTTAAGAACTATGTATTGCTAGTTAAAAAAAAAAAAGAATTATATTGCAGGCAAAAAAAAAAGACATGTGTCTCCTTCTTACATACTTTGACCAAAATTATATATAAAATATTGAATATGTGTGTGTATGTATATATAAGCTGATGGTCTTTACCATCCTTCATAGCTT